CCCCTAACATACTTAATAAAATACATACAAATTTGCTTGAAAAAATGACTTTCAATTTCGCGCAAAAAAAAAAATATGAACGTTTTAACGAAATCGCTGTTATCTGACGACTTGAGTGACTTTCTCTCGCTACTAGTCCTCTTTATACCATCCACCCGTTTCCTTGGTATCCTGTTTCACTAGAACAGCCTTCCATTCTGCTGGTATGGCCTCCATCAGCTCCCCAAGTCTATTGCCCACCTCTTGGAGTCTTCCCAACACCCTCCGGATTTCAGTTTTTATTTTTCATCTCCTCTGTCCCTCATCCCATAAATCCTTGATCCTGTCGACCTCTTTCTCTATCCACTTCCTTCCAAAGTTACCAGCCCTCGAAACGTCAAAGTTGCAACCATTTAGGTCCCTGATGTTGGAATTTTCAAACATGTGTTGCATCAAAATTTCCTCTTTTAGGATAGGAATAGCAGGCGGATGAGGTCTGAGTCTGCTCCTGGCTGCACACCAGGCTGCTCCCAGAGCAGATCTTCGTCTGTGCTTGAGAAAGGATGCCATTTGTATGCAGAGCCAAACATCCTCCTTGCGAGTAAGGTGGAATTCGTTCTACAATATGTATTGCAAAATTAACATCCAGTTGTGTTCTTCTTGCTGCAGACTGATCTTTTGCAGCTATTTTCTCAGCATGGCGACATTCTACCTTTCTGGGTCAATGATCCCCAAACCTCCTCCCTTGGCTTGTGTGACCTTGCCCCAGGACACCTTGGAGATAAAACCGGTACGTTATTGCTCTCCTGGCTCCCATAGGTAGCGAGTCGTCGTTCTTCGGATCTGCTGGAGAGTGGCTCTTGAGATCAAGATCACAGCAACAATATGCCAAATAAGTGAGAAAATGGAGGTGGAAATCACAGCGGTCGGGCGCATCAAAGAGAGACCCATTGCAGCATTACAATTTTTTGTCCTTGCTTCCACCTTGCCCAACGAGATTCTGTCTTGGGTTGGCTGACTGTTAGGCAGTGAATCTTGAAGCCCAAGGTATCGTTCTGTTTCATTAAATCCAATGCATTTCATGGACCAGTCCTTCTCCACTTCATACTCTTCCAGAAGGAGGTACATCGACTCGTCCCAGTTGATTTTGGCTTCGGACAGGACTGTTTACTGGTCCAGGATGCG